CACCACCACCACCACCACCACCACCACCGTCACCACCGTCACCACCACTACCACTACCACTGTCACCACCACTGCTACCAGCAGCTGCTAACATTTGTCAAGTACTTTACACTTTCATATAATCCTCACAACTAAATATGGGAGGAACTCAATGATAGGCACTATTATCTCCATTTTATACACGAGGAAACTGCCGCTTAGAGAGGTTAAGTCACTTGCCCAAAGTCCCAAAACTGGTAAGCGCCAGGGCAAAGACTCTGCACATGGTTCACCACTAGGCTACACTGCCTCTAGGGGGAGTGGGCTGTCACCACACAGCAGCCCTTAGCTGGGTTACTTGCTTCACCGTCTGACCTATGCCAACTTTGCCCTGTCACGCAACATGGTCCTGAACCATCTCTTTCCCTTTACTTCCTACTGTCTTCAGTTATTCTGAGCAAAGGGGAAGCTCTCTCATTTTTAACATGATTGAAAGTCAAGTTGAATTCAAAGACAGGTCTGTTTCTAAAAATGAACTGTCTGATGCATTTGGAAGCCCAATAGGATGAGAAAGACAGTGGCTGTCAGTTTGGATTATGGGCCCGACTATCTGTGGATAATCAAGAACACACTGGGAGATTGTTCAGCTCTCCTAGCCGTTCTTTGCCCCTCTGTGATGGGGGCCTCAGAAGGGGAGGAAGGAAGCAGCAGCAGGATGAATCACGGGGCACCCCGTCCCTTAGGGGACCTGCATCCACGTGGCCTTGTCCTGAACATCTTGGATCTTCTCATCTCTTCCTTCTCCCAGGCCTGGACTTCTCCAGTCCCTGAGCCAGGCCCTTCCAGGCTTGGTGGCTGGCACCGAGGACCAGGTCAGAGCACACGAATGTCAACTGACAACTCAGATGAGGCTCTGGAGGGCGTGCAGAGAGGGAAGGAGAGGGACTGTCTCATGGGACCTTGCTCCTCCCTGGGAGACATTTTCCAACCTCTTATCCAAGACTCAGAGTCCCTAAGTGGTGCAAACGGTTGATACACTCGGCTGCTAACCAAAAGGTTGGATGTTCAAGTCCACCCAGAGATGTCACAAAAGAAAGGCCTGGTGATCTACTTCCAAAAAAATCAGCCTTTGAAAACATTATGGATCCTGATAAAAACTCTCAATAAAATAGGAATAGAAGGGAAATTCCTCAGCATAATAAATGGCATCTATACAAAACCAACAGCCAATATCATTCTCAATGGAGAGAGGCTGAAAGCATTCTCCCTGAGAATGAGAACAAGACAAGGATGCCCTTTATCACCACTCCTATTTAACATTGTGCTGGAAGTCTTAGAGCAATAAGGCAAAAAAAAAAAAAAAAAGAAAGAAAGAAAGAAAAGAAATAAAGGGCATCTAGTTTGGAAAGGAAGAAGGAGAACTATCCCTATTCGCAGATGATATGATCTTATACATAAAGAACCCTAAACTTTCCGCAAGAAAACTACTGGAACTAACAGAAAGATTCAGCAGAGTAGCAGGATATGAGATCAGCATACAAAAATCAGTTGAATTCCTATACACCAACAAAGAGAACTTCAAAAAGTAAATCAGGAAAATGATACCATTTGTAGTGGTCCTTAAAAAGATAAAATACTTCAGAATAAATCTAACCAGAGATGTAAAAGACCTGCACAAAGAAAACTACAAAACACTATTGCAGGTAACAAAAAGAGAACTACATAAACAGAAAGACATACCATGCACATGGATAGGAAGACTCAACATTCTGAAAATGTCAAGTCTACCCAAAGCAATCTACAGATAAAACGCAATCCTGATCTGAATACGAACAGCATTCTTTAATGAGGTGGAAAAACTAATCACCAACTTTACACCGAAAGGAAAGAGGCCCTGGATAAGCAAAGCATTACTGAAGAAAAAGAACCAAGAGGCCTCACACTACCTCATCTCAGAACCTACTATACAGCCACGGCAGTCAAAACAGCCTGGTACTGGTACAATGACAGACACAGACCAATGGAACAGAGTCGAGACCCCAGATGTAAATCCATCCGCCTATGGTCAGCTGATCTTTGACAAAAGACTGAAGTCTATTAAATGGGGAAAGACAGTGTCTTTATCAAATGGTGCTGGCAAAACTGGATGTCCATCTGTAAAAAAAAGAAACAAGACCCATACCTCACACCATACACAAAAACTAGCTCAAAATGGATCAAAGACCTAAATATAAAACCTAAAATTGATAAAGTTTGTGGAAGAAAAAATAGGGACAACACTAGGGACCCTCATACATGACATAAAGACAATACGAACCATAACCAACAATGCATAAACACAGAAGAGAAACTAGATAACTGGCAGCTCCTGAAAATTAAACACTTACGCTCTTCAAAAGACTTCACCAAAAGAGTAAAAAGAGAACCTACAGACTGGGAAAAAAATTTTTGGCTACCACATATCTGACAAGGATCTAATCTCTAAAATCTATAGAATACTTCAACACCTCAACAACAAAAAGACAATACCCAGTTTAAAAATGGGCAAAGGATATGAACACGCACTTCACCAAAGAAGACATTAGGCAGCTAACAGACACATGAGAAAATGCTCCTGATCATTAGCCATTAGAAAAATGCAAATCAAAACTACAAGGTACCATCTCACCCCAACATTACTGGAACAAATCAAAAAAACAGAAAATAACAAATGTTAGAGAGCCTGCGGGGAGATTGGAACTCTTATGTGCTGCTGGTGGTAATGTAAAATGGTATGACCATTTTGGAAAATGTTATGGCACTTCCTTAAAAAGCTAGAAATAGAAATGCCATATGATCCAGCAATCCCACTCCTAGGAATATATCCTAAAGAAATAAGCCATCATATGACTAGACATATGTACACCCATGTTTGTTGCAGCATTATTCACAATAGCAAAAAGGTGGAAACAACCTAAGTGCCCATCAACAGGTAAATGGATAAGCAAATTACAGTACATACACACAATGGAATACTACACAGCAAAAAAGAACGATGAATCTGTGAAACATCTCACAAGGTGGATGAATCTGGAGGGCATTATGCTGAGTGAAATAAGCCAATCACAAAAGGACAAATATTGTGTGAGACTACTATTGTAAAAAAAAAAAAACAAGAAAAGGTTTACACAGAAATAAACAATCTTTGATGGTTACAAGGGAGGGGAGGGGTGGGGAGGAGAAATCACTAACTAGACAGTAGACAAGTGTTAACTTTGGTGAAGGGAAAGACAACACACAATATAGGGGAAGTCAGTACACGTGACCAAGGCAAAGCCATAGAAGCTTCCTAGACACATCCGAACTCCTTCAGGGAACAAGTTACTGGAGCTGAGGGCTGTGGACCATGGTCTTGGGGGTCATCTAGGTCAACTGGCATAACATAGTTCACAAAGAAGATGTTCTACATCCTACTTTGGTGATTAGTGTCTGGGGTCTTAAAAGCTTTCGCGTGGCCATCTAAGATACATCTATTGGTTCCATCCCATCTGGAGCAAAGGAGAATGAAAAAAACCGAAGACACAAGGAAAATATTAGTCCAAAGGACTAACGGACCATATGAACCACAGCCTTCACCAGCCTGAGCCCAGAAGAACTAGATGGTGCCCAGCTACCACCACTGACTGCTCTGACAGGGATCACAATAGAGGGTCCCAAACAGAGCAGGAGAAAAATGTAGAACAAAATTCAAATTCACAAATAAGGCAAAAAAAAAAAAAAAAAAAAAAAAAAAAAAAAAACGAGACTTACTGGTCTGACAGAGACTGGAGGAACCCCCGAGACTATGGCCCCCGGACACCCCGCTAACTCAGAACTGAAGCCACTCCCAAAGCTCATCTTTCAGCCAAAAAATTAGACAGGCCTATAAAACAAACAATAACACACGTGAAGAATGTGATTCTTAGTTCAATCAAGTATACGAGACCAAATGAGCAACACCTGCCCAAAAGCAAAGACGGGAAGGCAGGAAGGGACAGAAAAACTGGACGAATGGACATGGGGAACCCAGGGTGGAAAGGGAAAGGGGGAGAATGCTGACACATTGCAGGAATTGCAACTAATGTCACAAAACTATTTATGTATAAAATTTTTGAATGAAAAATTAATTTGTGGTGTAAACTTTCACCTAAAACGCAATAAATTTTTTTAAAAAAACGTATTGAGCACAGTTCGACTGTGACACACATAGGTTCTCCGTGAGTCTGAATTGACTCCATAGCAACTGGTCCTGGTACTCAGTCCCTTGAGCAGTAGAGACAGAATAGATCCTGAAAGAGGACCCCCTCCCCTTGCTGGTGGCCTGGCTGTTTGTTTAAAGTGTTCTGGTATAAAACCATCTGAGATGGCAGAATTTCTGGCCATTACAATTCTTGAACATCTAAATATCACCAGTAGGCAGAAACATGGGGTTCACAGCAAGAGGAGGATCATTTGCTGAATTTCCTCCTTGATTAAATCAACCCACTCCTCCTGACCCCCCCACCCCTCATGTGATCCTGAACCCTGTCCAGCTCCCACTACCCCCTTTAGAGAGAACTGTTCTTACTTAGAGCAAGTGAAAAAGAAGGCAGACTTCAGACTTCATTTTCTCTCTGTTTGTCACTTTGGGCAAGGACAGGCTGGTAAATGCAGGCCCTTATCTGCAAGCTTGCTTTAAACCAAGGTGTCCTCTCTCTCTCTACTTGCTGCCTGGCCAGGTTCTCTCTGGACGAAGACACAGGGCTTATCGTGCTGATTGCCAAACTGGACTATGAGCTGATCCAGCGCTTCACCTTGACAGTCATCGCCCGGGACGGGGGTGGTGAGGAGACCACAGGCCGGGTCAGGATCAACGTGCTGGACGTCAATGACAACGTGCCCACCTTCCAGAAGGACGCCTATGTGGGTGCCCTGCGAGAAAACGAGCCTTCTGTCACACAGCTGGTGCGACTCCGGGTAAGATACCAGGGAGTCCTGCCATCCTGCCGTTCATCTTGCCCTTCCCTCTGTGCCTCCTTCTTCACTGCCCGCCTCGGGAAGTCACTACAGGGAGTGCTAACCTCCTGATTGGGGGTCAGATCCTGAGTCTGTGCTGGGCCTTCTCTGATCCCTATCCCAAGTCCCTGGTTATTGAGTGAGGCTGCATGGTATCTGTCTAAGCTTACATTTCAGGTCACCACTGAGCAAAGGGACCCCCGTCTCCCTTGGCAAGGACACTAAAAGTGGGGAGCAGTCCCTTGTCAGGACCCCCTTCCAAGCCCTTTAGTACCTGCTTAGAATCAGGACCTACCACAGCTGGAAGGAGCTTCAGAGACCCTGGGATGCAACCCCATTTTACAGAAGGGAAACAGGAGGGGAGAGATTGGCCCAAGGAGGCGAAGTGAATTAGCAGCAGAGCCAGAACTAGAACTCGGGACACCATACTCCAAGTGTCCTCCTATGGCGAGTCCTCACTGTGATTCAGTGACCTTTGACCAGAGACATCTTAATGTCCTCGTCCCTCTCCCCCCACTCTGCCCACTCTGAGTGACAGGACCCAGAGCCTCCACTTAGAACTTGTTTCTGAAGCAGACAGGGATAAAGGCAAGGGTGGAGGCGTGGGCATGGGGATACAGAGAAGACAGCATGCCATGGCACCCATAGGACCCTGGCCTCCCCTCCCCCACTTAGCTCCAGTCTCACCCAGAGTCATGGGGTGCCCCTGAGGCTCTTCAGGGTCAGAGCAATCTGGAAAGAAGCTGATTAATCTAGTCTCCTCAGAAGACAGTCAGGGGGGTGTACGATACCTGATACCATTCCAAATGCCTTCTCCCATCCTTGTAGTCATGCAAGATGCATTTATTAGACCCCTACTGTGTGCCAAACACTGTGCTGGACTCTAGTTGTGCAACAGCAATCAAATAGCAGACAGTCTAGCAGGGCAGGCAGAAGTGAAACAAGTCATTCCAGTCAGCTGTGAGGGGACTGAGGGGTTGAGGGGTGCACAGAACAGGGGTCCTAACCCAGTCAGGGAAGGCTTCTGTGGGTTGGGGTGTTTGAGCTGGGACTGCAGGTGTAGGGGTTAGTCATGCCAGATGTGGGGTGACCTCCTCCATCTTCTGGGTGAGCCCCAGCCTTCTCCCATTCTTCCCAGGTCCCCAACCTGCCCTCTAGATTTCCCAGGCTACCCATACATACCAGCACATAGAGGGGAGCAGGGTATCTGTGAGGGGCCAGAGAGGGCCTCCAGCTTAGGGATGGGGGCCTCCTGGGGTCCCATGACTGAGAGCTGGATCACCCAAAGAAAGGAGCTGTCCTGTGTGGAGTTTGAGAAGGGCCAGCCCCACTCCTGCCCACCTTCATCTGGCCCCAGGGCCTCTCGGGGCTCACGGGACTCTGTCCACTCTCTTCCTTCCAGGCAACAGATGAAGACTCCCCTCCCAACAATCAGATCACCTACAGCATCGTCAATGCCTCTGCCTTTGGTAGCTACTTTGACATCAGCGTGTACGAGGGCTACGGAGGTACGTATGGGATGCTGTCTTGGGATGAGGGCTCTTTTCTTCTCCCATGTAGGCACCCTGGACCACTCAGGAAGCCGCCTGGCAGCTCCAGTCAGCTGGAGCAGCAGGTAGCCTGAGGTTGCCCTTCCGCAGGGTCAAGATCTGTGTCTCAGATCAGCCCGGTCTTTCTCTAGGTCTTAGGCCCACAGCCAGCCCTGCAGGCAAGCAGATGTCTGATGTTACTAGAATATTCCTGGGCCCCTGTTTCTTACCAAGGCTGCCCTAGGCGGATCCATGAGGGTGGAGGCTTGTTGGTCAAGCTTCGCCATCCTCTGGCTGGTCCTACGGCCACCTGCCAGTCTTCCCAACAACAACAAAACAACACACCAGTTGCTGTCCAGTCGATTCCCACTCATGGAGACCCCGTGTGTGGCAGAGTAGACTTGCATTACATGAGGTTTACAAAGCTGTGACCTTTCAGAAGCAGATCGCCAGACTTTTCTTCTAAGGTGCCTTTGGGTGGGTTCAAACCGACAACCTTTGGGTTAATAGTTGAGCCCTTAATGGTTTGCGCCACCCAGGGACTCCCCCAGCTTTCCCAGGCTGAAGGTTCCCCTGGCTTTCCATCTCCCACTCCAGCCCTGCTAGGCCCAGGCATAGTTCGCACTCCGGACCCTGCCCTGCTGTGAGTCCTGATCCCTAGAGCCCCGGCAGGGAAAAGCAGCAACAACATCAACTTCTAAGATCCCAAGAAACCATCTCTTTTTTCAGACGAGGCAACTGAGGCCCAGAGACAGGGAGCAACTTGCCCAAGGTCACACAGCAAAGCTGTGAGGGTAGCACTTGAGGCCCAGTGTGATCTGCTTCTGAGCTGCCTCGCCAGCCTCATCTCTCAGCACTCCTCTCCCCTGTAAGAATCCAGCCTCTTTGACTCCGTTGGTGTCCTCTCCCCATAAAGTGGTCACCTCCCTTCCATGCCTTTGCAGAGGCTGTTCCTTCTACTGGAAAGCCCTTCCTCCCTGCCCCTAAGCCCATAACCTCTGGCTAACTTTGAGGGCTCATTTGGATGTCCCTTTTCTAGGGAGCTTCCCTTGAAGACTGGGTTAGGTGCCCCCAAGGTAGAATGAATGTGCGATTGAATGACCCCAGGCCCAGTGCTCATTCCTCCTACTGCCCACAGTGTGGCCGAGACATCCAGTCGCAGAAATTACAGTCTTGGCTTCAGATGTCGGGTGATCTCTGTCTGTTTAATCCATGCCCCCTTTAGAACACTTAGAAGTTCATGCCTCTGTCTGCCCACACACTGCTCTCTCTTTAGCTAGAGGAATTCCCCTACGGTTTGCATTACTAAAGCAATACTTTTGTTTCCATTTTCCAAATAGAAAGTTGCAATTTAATATTGTTTTAATGCCTTTTCAGACTATACATGGCCCCCACCCGCAAGCCAATATGCCTTCCTTTCCTGATTGAGAATCCATGGCTTAGCACAAAGAGTAGTAATGGGAGTTCAGGCATGCACAGTGGGGGTTGGAGGGGGGGCATTTGAGGGCCAAGGCATCTGTCTCAGCTCCCCCCAAATCCTGCCCCTTGGCCTATGTCTGAGACGGGCCTTTGGTGTCAGGGGTTCTTCACCCACCTGCAGAGTTCTGCTGAGGGTAAGGTCAGCTACACCATTGCCATGAGTGCCCCACCCCAAGGCCCAGAGCAGGCTACTGGATGGCCATGAAGAACCCACAGGGTGAAGTGAGTGAAGAGGAGAGGGAGGGAAGAGAAGAGGGGGAGAAAGATGGCAAGGGAAAAAAATATAGGTCAGAGGAGAACCAGGAGGGTGTCACCTGTACCCTGCTGCCTGGCCCTCCTTGGCACCCCAATGCTGGGCAATAACTGGGAGAATTATATGCTGGTCTGGGGTGGAGGTGGGGGAGTAACAGGGAAAGATCTAGAGGGCCTAAGGCATGACCCTGTCCTCCAAGCAGCTTCCAGACTAATCAGGACAGATATTAAAGAGCAGTGCCAGATGAGTGGGTCAGACAGACAAACGGACAGTCTAGCAGGCAATTGTGCCTACTGGGGAGGTGTCTGGGCTCTGGATTCAGACAAACCTGGGCTCCAGTCCTGGCTCTATCACTGCCAGCTGTGTGGCCTTGGGCAAGTTACGAAACCTCTCTGAGGCTGGTTTCCTCTCTGTAAAATGGAGCTAATAATCATTACTGTCTCATGGGCTCAGCACCGTGCCTGGCACACTTCAGGCAGGCCGTAAACATGAGACCATGAGGCTCCACTAGTTCAGGGTCAAACAAGGCAGAGCTGGCCCCGGCACACGCCAGCCATGCCTTCTCTGCCCACTGGGGAGCCATGGCTGGAGGACATCTAAAGTCTGCTTACAGAGGGCCTGGGGGCCCTGTTTCTCTCATTTCAGTGATCAGCGTGAGCCGCCCCCTGGACTATGAACAGATACCCAACGGGCTGATTTATCTGACAGTCATGGCTAGGGATGCTGGCAGCCCCCCTCTCAACAGCACTGTCTCTGTCACAATCGAGGTGTTTGTAAGTACCCAGGAGCGCTGGCCTTGCCCTTCCAACAGCAGTGGTGAGTGCTTCCCAGAGCATCCCGGGTCTGCCTGAACCCAGTGGCAGAGGACTTTGTCCCCACATCCCTGGATGACCCCACAGCTCGGGGAATTGCCCAACAAACGGTCCCAAAGGTTGGCCCCTAGCTAACCTCTGCTATTGCTGCAGCAACCAAGTGACTTCTCAGCTCAGGCCACCAGGGAAGGCCCAGGGCCCTGGAACTTCAAGAAGAGACAGATTGCCTTGCTCTGAGTTTACTGGGGACCTCAGAACCCCCTCTGAGAGGAATAGGAGCCAGGGGTCAAGCAGGGAGAAAGTGTCATGGGTTCCCTTCACTTACAGCCACACTCCGTGAAGTTCAAGGAAATTACTGGAAGGTCATCTTCTCTCTTCTATCCTCTATCCCCCTCTTTTTTTTTTTTTCCTTCCTTTCCACTCCTCTGAAGATCTAAAGGGGCCTGAAACCAAACCACAGCTTGTCTGACATGAATGTCAAACACACCTTAGTGATTTCCGTGTCTGAAATTATCAGCCGCTGAATCCATCTCCACACTTGCTCATTGGCCCGTGCTGCTCCCCCAGCGATCCTGGGATGCTGAGCATGGTCTGACAGCGGGCCGCTCCCCACTGAGACCTCCCCGCCGTGTGGTGCGCACACACAGACACCCCTCCCCGCCACCCCATGTGGGCGTGTTGATGAAAGAGTTAGTGCATTACTGGCTCCAGAAGGATTAGATGAGAGTGTCAGGCTAGGAGATAGGCTGTGATTTAACATAAACTCAGGAATATCTCGACCTGGAGCAGGCTTGCTGGATAACCTTCCTGTCACAGGCGGCTTGCCCTGCAGCCTCTGGCACTGCCCAGACCTGGCTTTAACAAGCCTCGTCCTCTCAGCCTGAGGCCGAAGCTCCAGGGCCCGGCTCCCACGGGAGATGTCCTTGTCTGGGCCTACTTGCTTGCAGAATAGGTGGAGCTGGAGGTTATGGCAAAGTCAAGGCTGATGCCTGGGGGAGAGCCCTCCAGATGGGCATGTGGGTGCAGCGTTTACAGGTGGCATGGGAGGGTGGGGCTCTGCAGAACAGGGTGCAGCAAAGGGGAGGGCAGAGAGCCTTGCTTCTAGAGTCCTTGTATCTGGCATCACAGAGGAGAGTCATCGAAGCCTAGAAACTTGCACATCTTTAGCCCACGACCTCCCACCTCCCTTAAGATGCTGAAGGTGATACCAAAGAAGTAGAATGTGTTTCCTGCCAGTTATGGCCATGTCCTTATATTCTTCACATGGCCGTGACCCTGACACTGGCCACAGCTCCCAAGCCTCCCCAAATCCTGGCCACACTCATAGCCTTGACCAACCAGCCATCCCTTTTATCTTTGTTACCTAGTGCTGCCGTAACAAAAAAATACCACAAGTAGAGGGCTTTAAAGCACAGAAATTAATTTTCTCACAGTTCTGGAGACTGAAAGTTCAAATCAAGGTCTTGGCCTTGGCGATTCCTTCTGTGAGCTTCTCTCCTAGTTTCTGATGACTGCTGCCAGTCCTTGGTGTTCCTTGGCATCTGTCTTCTGCCTGTGTGTCTCTCTACTCTTTTTATAACTCAGAAGGGATTAGGGTTAGGACCTACCCTACTCTGATTAATATAACATCATTAATATAACAAAAGAAAACCCTATTTCTAAACAGAATCACATCCACGGGTACAGGGGCCAGGACTTCAGTACCTATTTTGAAGGAACGCAATTCAGTCCGTAAAATACCTTGCAACCAGCCAATATTCTGCTGTGCTCCGCAAGTACTGAATTGCTCCTGTGTTCAAGGTACAGTAGCAGGTCCTGGGTGGATATGAAGATGAATGTGAACCTGCTCCACCCCCAAGGAGACAATGCGAATGGAGGGAAAGAGTGCGGCTTTGGAGGCATGTGGGTTTGAAACCTGGCTCGGCCACCCTCTGGCTGTGTGACCTGGGATTAGTTCTTATCCTCTCTGAGCCTCAGTTTCCTCACCTGCAAAACGGGGATAATCATTGTACCTGCCTCATAATAGTGTCATGAATACCTGGCACCGGGAAATGTTGGCCATTGTTCCAGCTGACAAGACAGACATGCATACCATCGGCAGCATCTAGACCCAGCTGTCCGTAGTGCAAATGGGAGTTCCAGAGTGCAGGCTAGGACCGAGAAGGACCCTTTCCAGGCTTTGGGGAAGCAAATGAGGGAAAGGGTAGGGGAGGTTTAGGGAGATAAAATGAGGTGTTCTACACCAGCCCAGGGATGGGCAGGCATAACTGACCAAATAGAAATTAAAATGTAGTCAACTCCAGCGATGTGCCAGGTGCTTTCACATTATGAAATCTCTTTCAATCCCATTTTACAGATGAGGAAGCTGAGGCTCAGGGCAGGATATATAGCTGGTCCATTATCACCAGTGCCTTCATCGCTTACCACTTAGTGAGTGGCAGCACTAGGATTTGAACCTCAACCAGTCTGATTCCCAAGTTCACACTCTTTCCACTGCACCCACTGGCCTGGAGTCTTGGAAATCCCTGTCTTCACAGGCTTGAGACCAGAACTTCTCAAGCTTCCATGTGCACCTGAATCACCTGGGGAGCTGATTAAAATGCAGATTCTCATGCAGTGGGTCTGAGGTCGGGCTGAGATTCCGTATTTCTAACCAGCTCCCAGATGATGTTGATGATCTATGAGTGGACCACTCTTTGAGTAGCAAGGCCTTGGAAGATCTATCCTCACGGGATTTTGAAACTCAGGAATTGCCCCAAACCCCGGTCCCCTAACCAACCTGTGGCTCAGCTAAGGAAAAAACCCTTATTTTAGGGCCCTTTCCCTAAAGATGGAGCCCCAGCCCACCCTTAGCCCCGCAAATGGCTCCAGAGCTAGAGGAAGGTCCAGGAGCTGGACCTTTTACCCACTGTGAGTAAGAAAGAGTGGCTGGCGGCCTCCCTCCCTGATACTAGGAAGCGGGGTCTCCATGTGGAGGGCCGGTGGGAGGAATCCACCCCACTCTCCATTCATAAGCCAGGTCAGCCCAGCGGAAGGGGCACCATTTTCAAATTCACTGAAAGGTGTCCTGGGTCAGGAGGGGTCTGCAGTTTCCTTGTGGGTACCACCCTGGCAGCAGAAGGGTCTGACAACAAAGACAGATGCCCCTTGTCTATGAGTGAACATTGTCTCTCGAGTGGGGCTTTTGGACAGTGTCTAAGGACCACACTTGAAAAGGTCACCGCCTTCGGGTTGATTTGCACATGAGTGATTTTTAAGTAGCTGTCACTTGGCTAAGCTGCCACCTCCCTCCACTGAAGGGATTTGCTTCTCAACTGAAAAAAAATAGCCAGCCAATGATGAAGTTGATAGTGGGTTGGGGGTAGGGAGAGGCAGATCAAAGAGCCAGAGCTCTGGCCAGAAGGAAGGAGGAGGAGGCAAGAGGGGCCAGGTGATTCCTTTTCATCCACTGCTTGTTGGTTTTTAATAAAGAAGTCAAACTCGGTTTGTAGATTTCCCATTAGGGGACAATAAGCTTTTGGAGCGGGAGCTGCTGAATTAGAACTAATAGCAAATTCAGTGCCAGGATCCGGGGAAATATCACTGCTAATAAGTTTCTGCCTCATGCTCTGTCACTGACATTCTCGGCGCCGCTTCGGGCAGCCAAGCAGAAGGTTTGAATATATATGCATATGGGCACCCGTGCCCACGCCACGGGCCAGGGCAGTGCCCAGGTGCGGTGTGGGGGCATTGGATGTCAGGTGAGTCCCGAGTCCACCAGCTCTCAGAGGCTGGGGAGAAGGGCAGGGTGACATCAGTCAGGGTACAGTCCAGAGCCAGAGGACAGATCAGGGAAGGAGAGGGCATTCCTTCCTGGCTGCTGCAATCCCAGCAGGTGGATTCTCTAAAGCCCCAAGGGTGAGCAGCAGCTCTCACCCCTCCATCGCTTTCATGCCCGCTCAGCCAGAAGTGACTGCAGCTCAGAGGGCCTTCATACAGACATCTTGGCCTCAAAGAGCCTTCACTTCCATGAGGAGATGAGCCCTCAGAGAGTGAAGCACCAACAAACCGATACCAAACCCATTGCTGTCGAGTTGATTCCGACTCATGGAGACCCCACGTGTTACAGAGTAGAACTGAGCTCCATGGGGTTTTCCTGGCTGTAATCTTAGAGAAGTAGATTGCCAGGCCTTTCTTCCATGGTGCCACTGCCAACCTTTAGGTTAGAAGTGGAGTGCAAACTTCTTGTACTACCCAGGGACTGCAGCATAAGGACTGTCTGGGGGTGGGTGCTGACTCGGGGTGACCTCTGAGCCACTGAGAAACTGCTGAGCTGGCTGTGTGGGAAAGAGGAGAACTCTCTGAGTCACGTGGGCCAGCAGGCCTCCTGAAAGGGGAACAGGAGGATGCTTGTTGAGTGATTGCAGAAGGTGGTTGGTGAGGATGAGAATTTTAAAAGGTCGGGAAGCTTGTCCCTGATTGATGAGGAGGGAGATGGGGTGCTGGAGGAAGAGTGGGAGCAGGAGGAGACAGCTGGTGCACCTGGGCCTGGTTCCAGAAGAGGCCATCCACCCTGCCTGGTTCAGCCCCTCAGCCACGCCCCATGCTCTGACCAGTGTCTTTCTCACCTGGTCACTGGTGGTGAAGGCTGGACCAGAGGCAGGATTGCTGCAGAATCAGCGGGTTGAGGGGTCTCTGGGACAGGGTTTGGTCAGGGGCGGAAGAGCCTCGTTCCTGTGTGTGAGGACAGGTCTGGCTGTACCAGCCTGCAGCCAGCCCCAGGGGAGGAATTGACGCCTGGGAACTACTCCATCCGCCCACCACTGCATTCTTCTGGGTTTGGGTGCTCCTTTCTCCGTTAGTTTCTAGGAGGGCTCCTAGAACTTTCCATCATCATCTTGGCTGAGCTGGGAGGGCAGGTCCAAGAGGCCACCCCTAACATGGGGGGCTGATGAGTGAGGGTGGGAGTGCTGGAGCAGAGCCTGGAGCTCAGCTGGAAGCTAGGGAAGGGGGTGAGGGCTGCAAAGGGGTAAGGAGGACAGGAAGCACTAGGGGAGCTGGGAGTTGGAGGCAATTCCAACTGCTGACTCTTCTCCTCCTTCTCCCTGCCCTCCTCGCCCCTTCATGACCCTGTGTGTTTCCCAAGGCCCGCCAGAGAGACCCCTGACACCCTGTGACCCCCACCAGAGCCCCTCGGTGCCCAGCCATGCTCATCCTGCCCCTTGGTACCAGCCTTGGACAGCTGACCAGCCTGCCTGCCTCCCTGGCTCCTACCAGCTTGTCTGTTTCCCTTCCAGGATGAGAATGACAACCCTCCCACCTTCAGCAAGCCTGCCTACTTTGTCTCCGTGGTGGAGAACATCATGGCAGGTACGGGCCTGGCAGGGAGGGCAGGAAGGCAGGAAGCCTGCCTTCATGGGGCACCTGTTGTATGCAGACCTGACTTTGCACGCAGCATGGAATTCAAGCAGGGCCTCAGTCTTCCTTGTGTCTGTTTCCTGTGCGCACGCATCCTGTGGCAAATGAGGGGACCTTTGGAGATGTCCAATTACCTGCTAGCCAGCAGCTGTTTACAGAGCACCTATTATGTGCAGACACTCCTCTGGGCAGACCCTCAGCTTTTCCTTGTGGTCCATCTGCCCAGGATGCTGCCAGGAGGCCGTGGTGGGTCCCTCCAGGCCTGGCCTTCACCAAGCTAGCAGCCCTTTCCAGGCCATGGCGGTGCTCCCTTCCCAAGGGAGGGCAGCTTCTGCCCCAAACACTTTTCTTCCCACCCCATCCAGGTAAAATACACCCCAGCCCATCCAGGATCAACTACATAATTTCCAGGGCCCAGTGTAAAATGCAATATGGGGCTCCTTGTTCAAAATCGTAAAGAATTTTCACAACAGCAACAGCAGAGCATGAAATCAAGCAGGGCCCTTCTAAGCGTGGGACCCTGTGGACTGCACAGGTCGCCAGCCCGTGAAGCTGGTTGGCCCTACAGAGTGGGGACCCCAGCCTAGGTATAATGACTCTGGGAGTCTTCACCCCATCTGGCAGTTGGTGTGGCTGGAGGGGACTATGAGCTAGAAGCCCCGGAGGGCATGGCCTCAGGACAGGGAAAGGCTGACCCCCAGCCCAGGGAGGTGGAAATGGAAGGTAAGGGCCTTAACCAGACATTAAGGAGAAAATAAAAGCCCTTACAATTCCGCTGGTGAAGAAGATAAAATAAGACAGAAATGGAGCATAATAAATGTCAACGAATTTAATATGGAGCTTCATTTCTTTTTGACTCAAAGTAAAAGCTGATAATTCGAGTGTATTTAATGTGGCGGCCAGCCAGGGAAGGGTGGGGGACAGGCAGTGGTGTGCTCTAGCCCTGTGTCACCCTCCCCAGCAGCCTTGTCCCCACACAGCCCAGGGATCTCAGCCACAGGAGCGGTGGTTGGACCCACTCCTATCCCTGGGGTGCCCCTGTGGGCAGGCTTCCTGCCTCCCCGAGGGCTGGTCACTGGGAGCATGATGCCCATGTCCTCCCCTCTGGCCTGGGGCTGTGAGCCCGGGGTGAGCAGCCTTTCTTCCACCCCCTTGTCTCCCGGAAGGAGCCACGGTGCTGTTCCTGAACGCCACGGACCTGGACCGCTCCCGGGAGTACGGCCAAGAGTCTATTATCTACTCCTTGGAGGGCTCCTCCCAGTTTCGGATCAATGCCCGCTCAGGTGAGCCCCACCTGGCCCCTCTCCTCCATGCCCTTGGCTCTGCACCCCCAGCTCTGGGACCTGCCTCTGGACCAGGGTCTCTTTCTTCCCTCTTGCAGGAGGCCCTCGTTGTGAGCAAACCAGCTTTGAACACCTGACTTTATCTCTGAAATACTGAGTATGAAATTCACAGCATGAGTTTATCCACTAGAGGATTTCTTTCAGTGGGGAGGAGCCCTACGATGTTAAATTGTGTTCCGTTTTACGAAAAGCTGCTTACACACCGCTCTCCAGGGCACCTTTATTCAAACCTAAGTGTCCTCCTCTGTCAGCTGGCAACCTCATGCTCAAATCCTGGCTCCTCCTCTTAACACGGTTGTTGGCCTTGGGCAGGTTATACTCTCTCCCTCAGTTTCCCCACCTGTAAAATGTTGTTGTTGTTAGCTGCCATCAAGTAGACCCCCGATCCATGACGACTTGATGCTCAACACGATTGGACCGTTGTGATCCACAGGGTTTTCATTAGCTGATATATCAGAAGTAGATTACCAGGCCTTTCTTCCTAGTCCATCTTAGTCTGGAAGCTCCACTGAAACCTGTTCAACGTAACAGCAACATGCAAGCCTCCACTGGCAGAGGGTGGTGGCTGCATGAAGTCCTTTGGCTGGAAATCAAACCTGAGTCTCCCGCATGGACGGCAATAATTTTACCTTTGAACCACTGCTGCCCCCACCTATAAAATGAGGGTGATCATATTAGGGCTGTTGTGTCGATAAAGTACACTTAGACTAACTCCTGGCGTATAATAAGTGCTAACAAAATTAAGTTATCATCATCACTATTATTCTCTTTTTGTCTTTTCACCAAGGGACCCCCAGCCCCAGCTCCCTGCTCAACCCATGTAACTCTCTTCTTTTTACTTCCTCTCTCCATATGCCTCCCTCTAGCTCTCTCTCCTCTTTGAGGCTGGGAGAGAAGAAGGGGGTGCAGAAAAAAGCAACAAAAGATACCTCCAGGCTTTTCAGCCAGAAGCTGGGAAGGAATATGAGGCGCCTGTATACTTGTGCATCTGTTCATGCCAAATCAATGGGGGCTGCCCTGTGCCAGGCTCTGTGCTGGGTGCTGGGCATACAGGAAGGGATGTGATATGCCTCTGCCTTCATGGGGATCCAAGGCATGCAAGGCACCCCGTGTCAAAGTTCCCATTTCTGTATCAGTTAGGGGAACTCTAGATGATTAAAGAAGGAGCCTTGGTGGTGGCACAATAATTAAGCAGTTAGCGGCTAACCAAAAGGTCAGTGACTCGAACCCACCAGCCACTCCACAGGAAAGAAGACCTGGCAATTTGCTCCCGTAAAGATTTCAGCGTAGGAAACCCTATGGGGCAGTTCTACTCTGTCCTATAGGGTCAATATGAGTTGGAATCAACTCCACGGCACACAACAACAACAGCAACAGATAGTAAAAAGATAAACTCTGAAATCTCAGTGATTTAACACAATGGAAATAATAATTCAGACAGCAAACAGTCCAGTGTGTGTGTTAAGTGGGCAGCCTTCTCCATGGTGATTCTAAGACCCAGGCTCCTTCCATGTTGTGGCTCGATGGTCACTGCAGAAGGAAAACGAGCATGGAGTATTGTGCAAGGAGGTTTCTGTGGGCCAGGCCTAGAAGGGACGTAAGTCACTTCTGCCCACTTTCCACTGGCCAGAACCAGGCAACGGCCCCACTGAGATGCGGGGAAGGCTGGGGAATGTAGTCCCTGGCCTGACAGACACTTTCCAGCACTTATCCTGGGAAGGAAGCATGACTCTTTGGTGGACATGGGCCATCTCTGCCACAGCTGGTCGGTGGCCCAGCATGGCAGGAGGTCTCCTGTGTTATCCACCCCTGGTCCAAGTCTGCCTTCAGTCTCTCTTTCATCCCCTTTCTTGGAAGCTTGGTGAGCTGGTGACTGGTGCTGACGTCAGTGGTGTGTACAAAGGTTGAAGAGAGGCATCCAGGGCCTCTCCTCCTACTTCTGAAAAAACGGAGGCCCTTCCTCTCTGCTCTCAGGAGCATCCGTCCTCAGTGAGCCCACATTTCCAAGGGACTCAGAGTAATATCATTAGCTAATATTAACCAAGGACTCCCTGAGTAATGCAAATGGTTTATACACTCAGCTGCTAACCAAAAGGTTGGAGTTTCAAGTCCACCCAGTGGCACCTCAGAAGAAAACCCTGGCAATCTACTTCCAAAAAATCAGCCATTACCCAAAGGACTAAAGGACTGCATGAACCAGAGATTCCACCAGCTGAGACCAGAAGAACTAGATGGTGCCCGGCTATCACCAATGACCGCCCTGACAGGGAACACAAGAGAGTCCCAGACAGAGCAGGAAAAAAATGTAGAGCAGAACTCAAATTCACGTAAAAAGATGAGACTTAATGGTCTGACAGAGACTAGAGGCACCCCCAAAACTGTGGTCCCCAGATGCACTGTTAACCCAGAACTGAAACCATTCCCAAAGCCCACTCTTCAGACAGATTAGACAGGACTATAAAACAAAAAATAATACACATGAGGAATGTGCTTCTTAGTTCAATCAGATATACGAGACCAAATGGGCAACTCCTGCCCAAAAGCAGGATGAGGAGGCAGGAAGGGATAGGAACTGGTCGAATGGACACAGGGAACCCGAGGTGGAAAGGAGGAGCGTGCTGTCACTTTGTGGGGGTTGCAACTAATGTCACAAAACAATGTGTGTATACATTTTTGTATGAGAAGTTAACTTGAGCTGTAAATTTCCACCTAAAGCACAATTAAAAAAAAAAAAAGCCATTAAAAACCCTGTGGAGGGCAGTTCTACTCTGACATACATGGGGTCGCCATGAGTCAGAATCAACTCGACAGCAACTGGCTAGTATTAACCAAGTGCTTAGCATGAGCCAGGCACTGTTCTAAGCACTTTGACCAATATCCTCTCATTTCACCCTCCTCGCTGCTCTGTGAGGCAGGTCCTAGTATTATCCCCATTTTCCAGATGAGGAAACTGAGGTACAAGAGAGGCTGAGTAACTTGACTGAGGACTTGGAGAGCCTGAACTCACTCCAGAGCCCATACTTGAAATGCTACATTATGTAAGGCCACGCTAGAGCTCCATCCCTCCACCCAGAGGCAGTGCCCAGCACCCCACCTCTGCCTCCCTAACCAGGAACTCCATCTCCACCAGGGGGCTTGAATGATGACATAGACATTTTCTTGCTGCCTTAATGCATCTCCTTTAGCTCCAAATGTGTGAGCACTTTCCCCTGAGCTCCTTCGTCAGATTAGCCAGGTCTGCTCTGCAAAGGTGGCCTTAATTGGATCTAATTTCCCAGACAGGAGGAGCAATCTATCATGCCGACAAGTTCATGTTCAAAACTTTTTAGAGATTAATTTCTTCCTTGCCCTGCCAATTAATCGACAACACCCTGGCAGGGAGCATGGCTCAGCTGGCAGACCTTTGCCAGTCTTCTCTTCCTGATCTTAACATCTTAGCTGCCCCCTGGCGCCTACTCCTGGCTCCATGTTCAACCCCAACCAGGCCAGAGGACTGGACAGTGTGCCAGGGAGGGAAATGTCGGGGTGGGAGGCATTCTGGGGACCATCTGGCCCAGCTCCCTTGTTTTATGGTAGAAGAAACCAAGCACAGAGAAGTTAAGTGACTTGCCCCAGGTCATGCAACTCACTCAGGCAACGGGGATACAGACATGAATAGCACATAGTCCTGCCGTTGGGGAACTCTCAGCCCATTGGAAGGAAACTAACATTTTCCGAGTGTTGGGAGCATTGCCTACAGTTATTTAATCCTCACAATAGCTCTGATGGGAAAGGATAATAACCTCCACTTTACAGATGAGAAAACTGAGGCTCAAAGAATTTAAGCAACTTTCCCAAGGCCAAGCATCTGGAAAGAGCTGTAATCAGAATTCACATCTGGGTCTCGCTGTCCTCAAAGAGCGGGCTCATTCTCACAGCCCATATGAGATGGTAAATGGCCTGGCCTCAGTAACGTGTGAAGCCGGCTTGTACTGGCTCATACCAGCTCGTGAGAGCCAACTGTGCAGGTGCATCTCCTCCCAACTCCATATTCAATGCCATCAAGTTGGTAGTTTAAAATGGGCCTTGGTGGGAGTATTTACACCATGGAAATTGGCAAAGGCCTTTTTTTTCCTTTTGAAGAGCCGGTTGTTAAACATTTACCAGCATACTGCTGCTGGGGTGGCTTCCTTTTTTAGTTATACCACAACACGAAGAAATGCCAAAACAGGCCGACAAAAATGGTGGTACATTTTAAATGTTTATATTTAACAGAATAACTTTGTTCACACACTAAAAAACAAAGGCAATATGATTATATTATGCACATGGCAGTTAAGGAAATTATTTTAAAACTATTCATTCTCACTGTGCTACAAGTTGGACTGTCTAGTAATGAGTCTCAAAGTGGAACCTGTGTGAAAAACTTGGTATTTTTCAGTCCTGTCACTGTATCTCTGTGACTATCTGAATAAACGGTGCCAGGCGCTATGCTAAGCTTCCCATGATATTAACTAAAATAATCCCCACAACAGACCTCTGCACAAGGTCCTATTATTATTCCCTTTTGACCAAATGAGGAAACTGAGGCACAGAGGGTTTAAGTGACTCATTCAAGGTGATAAAGCCAGTGACTTAACGTCAAAAGTGTGAACGAGAAGAAGTTTGTGGCTGAGTCTGAGTCCAGATGGCCCTCCTGCCCCGCTCCCCAGCCTCCAGCTCCCCAAATCAGCCCACATTTTCCCAGGTCTGAAAAGACCTCTTCTTCATGGGGTTGTATTGCCCAGCTCTGGGATACTGGTTCCCAAGGAACAGTACTGCCCCCGCCCCTCCCTGAGCACCGTCTCTGTCTCCTTGTCTCCCAACTGCCTGTTGCTCACATACACACACACTGCCAGATCATGCTGATCTCGTAAGCATCTTCCTGCACACTGTCTCTCCCTCCCTTGCTCTCTCTGGCCCCCCATTCACTGACTCCTCTCCCCTGCAGGTGAAATCACCACCACCTCCCTGCTCGACCGTGAGATGAAGGCTGAATACATCCTCATCGTGCGGGCAGTGGACGGGGGTGTGGCTCACAACCAGAAAACTGGCATCGCCACTGTGAGTGCCCCCTCCCGTGTCCCCCACTCCCTGCTTTCCAGCCAGGTCACTGCCCCCAGCTCATCTTCAAGTGGTACCCGAGGCCTCTGGGCACCTGTGTCCTGAGACAGTGCAGGCACTGTGGGAGCGCACGGAGGGTGGCAGGTCCCAGCCCATCATCAGCCAGGGTATCCCTGGAGCTACCTCAGCTATGGGGAAGAAAGGCATTTCCAGTTGGGATGTGGGGAGACCCAGGAGGAGCTCAATGAAATATTTTCTTCCTTCTTCCCAAAAGGCCAGCTGTGCAGGTAGCAGAAGGCATGAGCCCCAAGGGTTACTCCCTGCCTTGGCACCTGCCAAGAAACAGGAGAGGGTCTTTCTGCCAGCCACGGCAGCTCAGAGCAGGAAGGAGGGCCCAGAGGGTCCCTGGGGACTTGTCCTCACCCCCACCCCCACCCCCATCCCTGGTGATGCTGAGATGTGATGCCTGGGCTTCCCTTCCCTGAACCAGTAGGACAGTGAAGACCCAGAGCACCCACCCAAGGCCTGGCACTCCCTCGAAGATACCGCCGAGAGTTGAAAGCTAAGGGAAGGCAGTTGAGGGTCTTGAATGAGCTCTTGGCTGCAGAAGAGAATGGGGGCTGGGAAGCAGTAAGAGCTTCTGGGGGAGAGGAACTCCAAACCCCTCCCTTCCTGTTCCCCATTTGCTTCTCTAGCTGTCCCTGGGGACCCCTCTAAAGACCTCTCCCCATGGCCCTCACCCCACCCACAGAGCTGCCCCCATCCTTGTCCAGCCAGAGGGGCTAGGGTTGGTGGCCCTTGGCCAGGGACTTGCAGGAAAGTTCCCTGTACCCTCTTCAGTCACAGGAGGCCCCTGCTAATAGGAATCAGAGCTCTATAAATAATTTACCTGGGCAGCAAGTGAGCAGGGAAATTGCTTGGCTTGTAGCTGAGACTGGGATGCTCAAGGGAGTCTATCAGATCCTCCACCGCTAACCTCCCCCACCGTATCAGTCACCTTCAGCCAAGACCAGGGATTTCAAGGGTCATCTCATCCATCCCCCTGTGTCCTGATGAGACAGCACCTCAACCCACCCTTCCTGGAAGGAACTGGCTCCCTCCTGTCCTTCAAAATCCAGGCCCTGCCCCAAGGCCCCCAGAGTGGTGGAGCTGGTGGAATTAATCCCATGATGCCCCGTAGGCTTCTGAGTGTTGTTACCCTGGTAGGTCCTGCCCTTGCCCGTCTCAGTGAGGCGTGCCCCACAGCGCCCCTTGTGGCTTCGCAGGTAAACATCACTCTCCTGGACATCAATGACAACCCCCCCACATGGAAGGATGCTCCCTACTACATCAACCTGGTGGAGATGACCCCTCCAGACTCTGATGTGACCACGGTAGGTGGTGGGATGGCAGAACTGCCAAGGCGGCACTTCCAAGGGGGTCTTCCATTCCCATCATGAACCCCCTGGCTCAGTGGCATCACTAGGGTTGATGTCACTGAGTGTGGTAACTCATGGTGTCACCCCCCCGTGCTGATTACCACAGTATTGTAGCTAAAACACCAGGAAATTTGAAAAAATCCAAATAAAACAAAAAACACCAGCAGCAACGAAAACAACAGTGTGTGCTTGTAGCGTGCAGACAAAACCACGTGATTCAAAGCGTCGTTGTAATTGGGTAATAACAACAGCTCTGACCGGAGCACATTAGAAGGTCCAAAAAGTAAATTAGCATAGTATATTCTCACCACCAACAACAAAATAAATAAAATTTGGGGAAAAAAGTAAATTAGCATAAAGTTTTAGCCTTGTAGGTATATTGATACATGTAAGCTGAGCTTATGGAAAATTTTTTTGTTGTTATAACTACCTAAAAAAAAAAAAACTAAATCTGTTGCCGTTGGGTTGATTCCGACCCATAGCGACCCTAGAGGACAGACTAGAACTGCCCCACAGTGTTTCCAAGGAGCCGCTGGTGGGTTTGAGCTGCTGACCTTTTGGTTAGTGGCTGTATCACTTAACCACTGCGCCACCAGGCCTCCATAACTAACTACAGGGATATTTTTATAAAAAATAATAAATTTCTAAAAATTTTTATAGATAGTCATTTTGGTGTCACCCCCTCTGACAGTTTCACCTGGTGTGGTCCACACCCCCTTTGTGATGTCACCGCCCTGGCCTGCCCAGGTGGGGTGGACGGTCTTTATGTTTCTGTCTGCTGACTCTTGGAGCAGAGCTCTGGAAGCTGTCCTTGCAGGGTTAAAGGAGGCAGAGGCTGGGGGAAGCCTTCACCCACCCCTGCTGGCAGTGGCCTTCAGGCTGTATCAGAGGGGATTTCCGGCAGCCCAGGAACCAGGAGCTAGGCTGGTTCAGCTTGTCAGCCACACTTCCCCTGAGGCCCAGGGCTTGTCCTCAGGACTCTGGCCACCCCCTCAGGAGAAGTCCCCTCCCCTCCTGCCAAGCCACAGGTCCTGCCCTCAAAATGCATAAGCTCAGCTCTGTCCCGGGTATCTTTCCTTCTGTTTCTGCAGCCAGCTGCCCAGGCCAGCTCCCCAACAGGTGGCCCCCAGGACTGCCCCAGTGGGGAGTTTGAGGGTCACTCCAGGAATTCCCTGGCATAGGATTTGCCTGGAGCACCCCTGTGCGGGTGTGTTGAGGAGCCTGTATGCAGAGAGTGAGCCTGTGTGGTCAGCACTGCTGCACTCAGGGTGAGATGGGGAGAGGAGGCCAAATCCACAGGCATCCCTAACGAAAACCAGCGTTCCAGGGAAGCTAAGGAAATCCAGGGTCGAGCACCCCCTTGTGGCGAGTCTCGGAGACCTTTTGAAGTACTCTGCTCTAGGATTCCCCTTTGCCCCATTTGATCTCATTTGGGGAGGCTTGTCCCCAAATGTCTACCCCATTGCGGCCTAGCCAGACCTGCAATGGACATGAACCCTGATAGCTCAGGGAGCCCATTTACTGAATGCCTGCCACATGCCAGGCGCTGTGCTGAGGGCTTCTCCTGACCTCTCTCATCTTCATTACAGCCTCACATGGCAGGTGGAGCCGTCACTCCTATTTTAATGTGGAGGAAACTGAAACGTACTTTAAGGGATTTGCCTGAGGTCCATAGCTACTAGTGCAGGACTGGAACCCAGGTCTATCTGACTTAGAGACAAGGAATTGGAAACCACCCAGTCCAACCCTGATACCTCTGCTGGTTCACCAGTGCCCTGGCTGTTGGCCCAGATCCAGAATTCCATTGGGATGGGGAAGGGATGGCATCCAGCTCTCCAGGAAGGCAGCCCCACCCTGAGCCCAAGCAACCATGTGCTGGTGATGCCTGGCCTCCCCACCCCATCCCTTCATCAGCCATGCCCAGGAGTGACAAGGTCCACCTAGATCTAGGTGGGAGAGGATGTCACCCCAGAGGAAAGAGAAAAGAGAGAGAAAGGGGTTGGCCGGCACACCAGTCCTGCTCTCTCTTCCATGTGTTCAAGATCTACTGAACAGGCTCCCAATCCCAGGCTTCCCTCCCAGAGATTCCAGTAGACTGAGGTGGGGAAAAGGGACCTTGAATCTGATTTTCAAAAGCCCCTTGGGGGGATTCCTTCCAGCCACGACCAGGTTGGAAACCACGACCCTGGGTCATTTCCACAGGTCTCTCTCTAAGGCTCCAGGCCTGGGTGGCTGCTGTCTGCTGCCACCTCGTGGACACTTGGGTGCTGGCCCAGGACAACCTCCTCCACTCCCCAGCCAGGGACCCCAAGAGCTGGTAGGCTGGACAGCTATCAGGTCCACTCTTACCTTCGCCTTACATTTCTAGGAAATTTTTCCCAGAGGGAATTGAGGGTCATCTGATAGAGGTGGCCCTGAGAGAAAGTGGCCGAGTAGCCTTGCATGGGACACCAGCCAGGGGTGCCATCATGGAAGAGTCAGCCTGCAGGGCAAAGAGTAGGTCTTCTGGGTGGGGACTGTACTTGGCCTTGGGCAGTATGGAGCTCTGGTCCCCAGCAGTCATCTCTGGGTCTCCAGCTTCCTTATGTCTTCTTCTAAGCCATGAGCAGGCATGGAGAGTGGGCCAGGGGCCTGCTGCCCAGTGCCTCCTCACTCTCCAGGAAACCTCAGCAAGCCTTCAGTGAGCACCTACTGTGCACCAGGCCCCGGGCTAGGCAGGCTTGGGGTACAGGAGGCAACAACGCTCCGGCCCTGCCTCCAAGGAGCTGAGCGGAGTGAAGAGTAAGCCCACCCGTCAGTACAGAGTCAGCAGGCCTTCCTCCCCGGCACGGGATGGGCACAGGGCCCGTGGTAGTGTTTGAGACCTGAAAAAAAAATGTAATGACTCAGAAATCCAAAAAGTATTAATACTTATGTTAAACACCTACCAAATGTAATATAGCAACTTTAATAATTATGAAATTTAGTGTTTGTAAACATTACACTGAAGGGCAAGTTGTAGATTAGACTTTCTAGAATTGTCAAGAATTTCCAAGCATTCTCTCTAATTGCCAATTACGTATTATGATTGCCTGGAAATGAGAAAGGAAGACGTCCATATACTAATTGAGTTTGTCATAGCCAAATAATTTCAAAAGGAGTAGTCATAAAAATCCTTTCCAATTTTATAACCATTAATGTATATATGCATATATATGGATATATGCATATATCCATATATATGAGGGTACATTTTAATACCTTTGAGGGGGTCCCTCGAGGTCTTCTAAGGTCTTACCTTGGCCCTCAGTGAGTTAGGGGCTGTAGCTGAGGTGTGAGGAAAGGGTGGGGAGGGGCTGTTAGGTGACATCAAGGACGAGGTGATATGTGAATGGGGCTGGCCCACCTGTCTTCCCACACCCACTGCACCCCCTGCACACTGGCCTTTCGGCTCCCTGAAACCACCAAATTCTTTCTCACCTCTGAGTCTTTCACAAGCTGCTTCTTCCCACTGCCTTCTGAGTGCTGTTCATTCTCTACTCCCCCACACCTTGTTCTTCTCATGACTCTCTCATTCTCTTCCTTCTGTTCCAGCTTAAAATGTCACCTCCTCAAAGACGCCCTCCCTGACTACCCTGCTTCGAGTAGCTCTGCCCCTTCTCCACACTCTGTTTCCTTCAGAGCTGCTCCTGCAGTCTGAGTTTGTTAGGTTACTTCTTTATTAAGAGCTACTACGGCTTGGGGATTAAGTGTGCAGACTCTAGTACCAGAATGCCTGGGTTCTAATTCCAGCTACTGTACTTCCCAGCTGTGTGACCTTGGGCAAGTTGCTTAATCTCTCTGTACTCCAATCTTATCTTAATAAGAGTCCCCACCTGATAGAGTTGTGATCTAATGAGCCGGTATACACAAAGCACTGGCATATGCCAAGTGGCCAATGAATGGTAGCTGTCATCATCACCATCGTCATCTTCCTGCCCTGCTGAGGTTGTGTCTGTCTCGCCCACTGTTGAACCCCTGTGCTTAGCACCGTACCAGGCACATTGTAGGTATTCAAGATATTTGTGAATGAACGTTGTTGAAGGATTTGTTCAGCTGGGGAATGTCTACCCTTTCCTCCCCTCCACATTTCATCTGCCCTCCCGCCACGCCAGGTCAGGGTTGGGTCTACCTTGTCAGAGGATATGGTCCAGGACTTTCCTAGGCACGCCCCCTAGAGGTGACCCCATCCCCATTCCCCTGGACTCTGAGGCTCAGGAGTAATACCAGGGATTTTTCAGAGCTGTGTGTAGATCAAGGAGCCCTGGTGGGGCAGTGGTTTAGAGCCTGGGTGCTAACCAAAAGGTCGGCAGTTTGAATCTACCAGCTGCTCCTTGGAAACCCTATGGAGCAGTTCTACTCTGTCCTACAGGGTCGCTATGAATCAGACTTGACTCAATAGCAACAGGTTTGGGGTTTTTGGTGTAGACCAAGGAGCCCTGGTGGCGCAGTGGTTAAAGCGTTTGACTGCTAACCCAAAGACTGGCAGTTCAAAACCACCAGCGGCACCAGGGGAGAAAGATGTGGCAGTCTGCTTCTGTAAAACTTCTTGGAAACCCTGTGGGGTTACTATGAGTCAGCATCGACTTGACGGCAATTGGCTTTGATTTGAGTGTGTAGACCAGTGGGTGCCCACAGGTGCTTTAATTGAGGAGCATTCAGAGTTGGCGTGGGGATGGGCGTCTGCGTGCTGTGGAAAGAGACCATGGCCGTTTCCGCCCATGCACATGTGCTGTGTATTGGGCGAGTTCTGTTTGCAAGTGAGATTTTGGCCCCGTTTTCCCTCCCAGCTCCTGCAAACTCCTTCAAGGACCTGGCTGGTGGGCGTTGATTTAGAGCCTTTCAAAGCCCTCCAGGAAAATAAAGGAGAGGGAGAGGGAGAGAATTACTCCCCGTCAGGCCAGGAGAAAAATGACGAGTGTGAAATGGGAAATAAA